TGCACATATAGGGGTAATCTTGTTACACTGGTCATTAGAGTCTCAACAACTATCCCAAAGCCTTTGTTTTCATCGTGATGGTTGCCAAGCGGTGAAAATACCCGGTTGTCCGCCCCAAGGATACATCAAGATTTGGATTGCAGTCTGAAATATATTGTGACATATTGGTACAATAGAGAAGTGAATAGCATGACAGTTTCTTGTATGTAAGAATGCTCGACACACTAAAGGTGCTATGTGAGCATTTCTCGTATGGTACTGACTGAAGAACACTTATCATGCACATGTGCCATGGGTGCTGCATTGTGTGTTGAGCCTGCATCAACTACACTTTGCGCAGTACTTTCTGTGAAGCTCATCATTATTATTATACATTTTTTACCTGCTTGTAGAAATAATTTTATGAGAGCAGCTCGAAATAGCAAAGAAGAGCAATTTGCGAAAATTTGCATTTAGTGACAGAATTCAATCTCCATCATTTGTTGATAATGCTTTTGCATCCAAAGTAAACAAAATAAAGTGTACGAATGTGACATAAACGTGACGCACAATAACCAAATATAGAAGACATTTGAACACTTTCAAACACGTCCGTACATTGTTTTGGTGTCAGATATATAATACCTGTAAATATCCTCACTGTTCTCACTACATGTGATGCCACTAATGATGAAATAATTCAAGTCATCTCATTATGGATTCTTGTGTTTTCTATATTGTCCTTTTTTTCTCCAGATGTTGAAGTACATCCCTCGTCATAAATTAAAGGTTGTTCCTCAATGCCTAAATGTCACTGCTATAACAACCTATCTCAATGATCCCTATGTAAAAGAAGCTCTTCATATTAAAGCTGGTCTGCCTGATTGGGAAATATGCAGGTATACATCATAAAATAATGCTTGTATTGGTCTAACACTAAACCCCAAACATTGGTGGTACTCTCACTTTCATTCTGCTCATTCCCACTTTAACGACTGCCACTCCATAATTTATTTATCAAAGACAGACAAGACAAACTTTTTTATTATCACATTGATTTCAAAATAATTTAATCATTCTTGTTATATAAACTTTAAATTAATGTTATCTAGCACATTTCCCCTTTCATCTGAAACTCAAGATTTTGAGAGATCAGTGTGTTAAAACAGTTTTGATGTAATAAAACAAACTTTGTTTTAGTTGAACATCACACATGTAAACAATGGAATATCTCTACTTTGGAAAAATTTGGTTCATGAATTCATGCAATGAAATATTATAAAAATATATTGTGTTGCATGGTTTGAACATATTTATTTATTTATTCATATTTATTTTATAAAAAAAATCATACAAGATATGCACATATGTTTTTATTGGAAAAAAATGTATGCAAATTTTTAGAACCTATGCAAACTATGGTGTGGCTTTGCTGAAAGTTGGAATGAGTGGAGAGGAAGTGACAGCGCCACCAGTGTTTGGTACTCCATGGTCTGAACTATTTGTATTTATCACTATGCATGTTATAAAATTATCTATAATGTATTTTAGATTGTGTATGGTGACCAACATTTATTCTGTGTTTCTACTAATCAAAACTTAGTCTGTTTGTGGAGTTTAACCCTGCAGTTTGTGAACTTTGAAACAACAATATTTTCTTTGTGTAGTTGGCAGTATACCGTATGTACTGTGATATAACTTGAAAACACTTTTTCAGTGTTTTTTCTTCTTCTAATTTTTATTTTTGCTTACTACCACCCTCAGTACTGATGTCCTAACTAATTACAAGAGAATATATGAAACCGTAAAGGAACAGTATTTGAAAATGTTGGCAACATATGTAAGTATTGTTAGTAATTGTGAAGGTTGTATGTAGATTTCAACGTTTTCTTACTTTTCAATTTCTTCACTCATTCCAAAATTGGGGACTGTTGATTGGAGGCAACATCCTTTTGTTCAATCTTGGCACCAAAACTTTGTATTCAAGACACAAATGCTCATAAGACAGTTTTAAAGTTGAACTCGATATTGCTGAAAACAGGTGTTGAACCAAATGTGTTTACCTGTAACCCCCTAGGTGTTCACAGGAGTGGGAGGATGGCGAGTGTAACCTAAATGATACCATGTATTGGTGGTACTTACATCGTCTTATTGTAAATACCATATTTTCTCTATTAGTAGAACAGTTTGTTTATGTTAATGACAGAGGTGTGTCTATAGTTTGTAATAAGTCAAGCTTTTAAAGATTCACTGTACAATAAATGTAATATATAGTTTCAGTGCAATTGTAATAGAGTAAATATTGTACATCATGTCTGTAATCCCAAATAACTTCCAATAGAGTAAATATTGTACATCATGTCCGTAATCCCAAATAACTTCCAATAGAGTAAATATTGTACATCATGTCCATAATCCCAAAAAACTTCCAATAGAGTAAATATTGTACATCATGTTCGTAATCCCTAATAACTTCCAATAGAGTAAATATTGTACATCATGTCCATAATCCCAAAAAACTTCCAATAGAGTAAATATTGTACATCATGTTCGTAATCCCTAATAACTTCCAGAGATGCAAATATTGATGGTTTTTCTATTTTCTTCAGAGTTATCGTATTTTAGTTTACAATGGAGATGTTGACATGGCATGTAATTTTCTTGGTGATGAATGGTTTGTGGAGTCATTAGACTTAGAAGAACAAGTACAGCGTAGACCTTGGTTGTACAATGATGGTACCGATCAAATCGCTGGCTTTGTTAAAGAGTTTGCACAGCTGGCTTTTGCTACAATCAAGGTTTGTATTGAGTACTGGCCATTTCGGGATTTTAATTAAAAATAGAATTTACGTAATCATAGAACGTTCTACAGTGCATGTAACAAATTAAATGCGAACAACATTACGACTTTTCAAGTAATTTGTTTGTATCGTAAAGAAGTTTACTATCTAATGAATTTCAATGTCACAACAGATATAAATAGTCCTGTCGATATTCTAATTCTCTGATTATTTGTCTCAGGGTTGTTCATGAGGTGATGATGCAACTCGAATCAATATTTGTATCAACATTAAAATGACCTTCCATTTATTGATTGGATCTAGTCATTTCAATACATGTTGTTCAGTACATGAGTTGCTTGGCAACAACAGTGTCAATCTTACAAGGGATGCTTACCATATCTCTATTCATCATAATATGCAGTTTTATACAGAGATTTTTGTGTACTGAACATGTTGATTTTGGAATGTTCGTAAAATATGACCATCACATTTTGTATTCGTATGCATTGACTAGGCAAACAAAATTTATTTACACGTTTTACATTTGTTATTGCAGGGGGCTGGTCACATGGCACCACAGGACAAACGCAAGGCTTGTCAGCAACTTATTAACAACTTTATATTCAAGTTACCCTACTGAAAACACAAATTTTTTTGTTTGATGTTTTGTGTTCAGTTTCAGAAGATACGGC